GCACGGGGGTGAGAAGGCCTGGGCCACTCGGGCCGCCCCACGCCTTGCACTGTCCCCCACCTGGCTCCAGCCCCTTTGGGCAGAGGACAGACTCTCACGCCTGTCCAGCTGCCAGAGCCCTCTTGGCAGGTGATAAAGCCTGGGGCCGGTGTGGTGACCTCCCACCAGCCTGAGACAGCAGCTCGAGGACTTCCTGATGCCTCCGGTGGAGAGCAGGTCGCGGGTCAGCTTTCAGCACTGCAGATGTGTTACAGCATCCACGGCATGGAGGAGGTGGGGCCCCACGGGGCTGCTCCCCAAGCCGTCTTGTTCCTTCGGAGCCAGGCCCTGATGTAGCTCTGCTCTGCAAGGAACCAGGGCCCACCGGGCCCCCGCAGACCTCTGATTTGCATTTCCCAAGCCGCACGCACTGCTGGGCGGGGAGCAGAGCCCGGCTTTCCCACTCTCTGCTGCCGGCGCCCCGCACCTGGGCCTCCAGGTTAACCACGGCCTTGCACTGTGCCCGGAAATCCTGGCCACGAGCTTGCTTCCCGGATGGCCCCCCACAGGCCCACAGAGGCCTGGGAGCCCTGGGCTGTGCTGGAGCCTCCCACCCCCCACTGGAGCACTGTCCCTAAACAAGAACCCCCCACCCCGCACGGAAGCTCTTAAGGGATGGGGATGGGCCTGGGTAGAACCCCACCCCCAGGAAGGGCTGGGGGGGGACCTGCCGTCCTCAAGGATGGTGGGTGACAGGAGGGGGAGGTGGAGTTAGGCACAGTGCCAGAGCTGGGTGGTGCTGGCATGGCGGCCAGGCCTCCCTCACCTGATCAGGAGTCGGATAACCTCAGCCCCGTGACCAACAGCCCCAGACACACCCAACACGACGTCCCTTGTCGGGCAGACTGTGGGCCTCGGCCCCCATCTGCTCAGCACAGGTGGCCCCCCCAAGCAGAGGCGGCCCCCCTCAGGAGCAACCGCGAGCCCCGTGGGGCTGTGACCACTGCGTGTGGGCGAGGAGGGAACAGACCTGGCCCATGGTGGTCCGGGAAGGCCCCCTTGCCACGCAGGAGGGCTGACCCAGTGCCCAGCAGCGGCCAGATCATCTTGGTGGATTCGGGAAGAAATGGGCCTGTGGGGAGCCCCCGAGATCCCCCCCACCGCCATTTCCTTAAGGACCAGCCATGGGGTTAATTGAAGGGAGCTATTTCTGGAACTTTTAACCCAGAAAACAGACCCTGATTTACCATCATTTGACACATCTGGACCATTTGGCCAAAATCAGGTCAAATATCCGTTCAGCGGGCTCACCGGGCCCTGCAGCCCCCACCGCCCCCAGCCCCGGCTTCGCTCCTGTCTCACGGCCACAGGGGCAGGATCACATGGGCACTGCGTGCTAGAGGCGTGGCCACCCCGCCCCCAGTGGCCAGAGGGCTGGGTGGGGGTCCCAGCCCTCTGCCCATCAGCTCCGGCTGAGGCACCGTCTGTCTGCTCCTCGCTGTCATTCTGTGCCCCGACTGGGGACTGACCACGGTGGAGGGGGGGGGCGGGGTGACCTGCTGACGACTGCCTGTTGCTCTTGGGGCCGAGAGCGGAGGCTCTGGTCCCAGGTGTTTGGGGAGGACAGAGAGTTGGGCAAATGCTCCTGAAGGGCAAGAGCGTGGCCCCCAAACCCTGAGGTGGGTGGGGCCTTGCCCGCCACAGGGCACTGCTGCCATTCCTTCTGGGGTGGGGCTGTGTCGCCCCCACAGCACTCTTCAGCTCCTGTCCGCATGGTGCTCCTATGCGTGCGCTCACATCTGCAAGGGTGTGGGAGACGTGCCCTCCCTCCCCCACTGGCCCTGCGCACAGGGCCTGTGCCCCGCAGGCTGCATGGGCCACATGCTGTCTCGGTCTGTGCACACGCAGGCACCACGGAGCCCAGCGTCTCTAACCCACATGTGGGTGCATCGCTCACTGATGCAAAACTCGACTGAGCAAAACGCCGGCGAGTGTCCTGGCTCACGTGAGCTCGGGACCCGGCTGCAGGCGGGGCAGGCGGGCTGGATGGGCACCGGGGGTCCCCTACAGGGGGCCATCCACGCCAGGCCGTGGGGACTCAGGGGACAGTCCGGGCTGGCCAGCACCCCGGACGGTGACAGCAGGTCCAAGGCCCCTGTTGGAAGCGAAGTGTCTGGAAAGCGGTGTTGGAAGGCACGGCCTCTCAGCACGGTGCTCGCTTGGCAACGACCAGGCTTTGCTTTTCTAGGAAAAGTACAGAAACACAGGGCCAAGGCTCTCCGGACACGGGCTGAGGCGGCCAGTGACACGATGCTCGGCAGAGGCCTGGCACCTGCACACCCACCCTGCTTTGTCCTCACGTCGGGGCCAAGAACTCGGCAGCATCTGCCAAGGAGCACCACCGGTCCCACCCGACTCGCTGTCACTGTCGCTGGGTGAAGCTGGGAGGTGGAGGGAGGCCAGCGGGGGGCAGGGCTGCTCCCTGCCAGCGCTTGGGCCGGGCACCTGCTGAGCCCGCCGCCACCGCCGGCCCGGCTGGGCGCTCCAGCAAAGTCCCCGAGGCGCGCGCGCGCCTGCTCATCCAATGTAATTACGCTCTCAGGATGCTCGCATCCCTTGCTGCCTGTGTAGTATCCGGACACTGATGCCTGCGTCTGCCGCCATCACAGGCCTCACGCAGCCGGCGAAACAGACGAGCGGGGCCTGCGCTGGCTGGGGCCACACCCCACCTCCGTCCGGGGAAGGGCGCAGTCTGCACGGTTCGCGTCCCATTCACCGCGACCCTGTGCTCACCTTATCTCCAGCCTCCTGTGAGTACCTGGAAAAAATGCTCATCAACTCGTTTTACTAACTACAAATTTATAATAAGTTGACTTTGAACTGAACCGAGGTTTATTTTTTTCCAGTTTTCTATTGGAAAAGGCTCTTACAGGGCAAATAGACAAGTATGAGAAAGAAAATCCGATCTACTGAAGAGAATAAGTTATTTAGAAACAGCTGTAATTTACGCAGAAATGACGAAGGTCCCCGTTTCGAGTCACCTGCTCGCTGCCGCCGCCAGGCGGTCGAAACTGCATTACAGAGCATCCCACCCTCGGCCTCCCCGTCACGATCAGCCCCGTGAGCTCAGTCATGAGGGCCACGTCCCAGACTGAAGACTCACCACTGTGAGGTCTGACAGGGCGGAGGGAACCGAGGACCAGATGGCCAGAACCACCCGACTGGGGCCCAGGAGGTGAGGGAGCCTGCGCCTGTCACGGCGGCGAACGCCGTGTCCCACGGGGTGTCCGCCTGGTGTCTCGGCCTGCCTTGGGGAGCGCGTGCAGTGGGGCAGGGACTGTGCCTGCCGTTGAGGCCCTGGCACCGTCACGGGAGGGACTGACCCCAGCCACCTAGAGACATGGACAAGCAAGACAGTGACAGGTGTCAACGGCCCTGTGAATAGATGGGGGCGTGCGCCTCAGGAGAGGATGGCTCCCAATTACGAGCTGGATTCTGAGTCGCAGGCAGTGGCACAAAATTTGCGGCCACTATCCTTCCCTCAGTCCATCTGCTCTGGCTGCTCGTCCTGTGGAAGCGACGTGCCTGCTCGCGACTCAGCCACCGCCCGTGCGGGCTGAGCCCACCTCGCCCTGCCGTGCGGACGGGGCGCCCTGGGGACCGCCGGCAGGGCTGCGCGGTGTTTGGTTTTAGTTGTGCCGAGCACCATGCCGCCGGTCCGGCCGTGAGTTCCGCAAACTGTCCGCACGCAAGGTGGGCTCCTCCCCGGCCCCCGACCCTAGGCACAGGACTGCTAGGGAAGGGCTCAGGCTGGAGCCCCGGCTCCTCCCGACCCCCCGCAGCTCTCACGGCAAAGCTCTCACTCCAGCAAGAAGCCGAAGTGCACCCCACGCAGCGGAAACTTGTCACTGGCTTTCGATGCCATTGCCACATGTCCTCAGTGAATTCGACAGGCGAAATCTACAACTAAGTACGCGGGCCCCGATTTAACCACGTGAGCTCAAAGGGAGGAAATCGGATCGCAGAGCCCAGAACCGGCCTCGGGGAGAGGGGCGCCGGCCTCGGGGAGAGGGGCGCCGGCCTCGGGGAGAGGGGCGCCGGCCTTGGGGAGCACCGCCCCGCCAGGCCCTCCGAGAAGGCGGCTGTTCTGCCGTCTGGGCTCTGCCTGTCTGCAGGCGACACTGGCCGCCCATGGCATCTCCGAGCTGGCGCCGGAGCCGTCCCATCCACCCCTCCGCACTGTCTGAAGGCTCCCCGCCCAGGTCACACCGCAGCATCCCGCAACGGCCACTCCCGGGCTGGCCTTGGCCCCTGCTGGCCACTGAGACGCTTGACCTCAACGACCGTCACACCACCACCTAATTTCACTCCAGACGCGTGTTCTCAGACAGTCGGCACTGCTTCCAGGCTGTTCCGCAGCACTGGGTGCTCTGGTCACAGCGGCATCTTCACTCAGTGCCTGTGGCGAGCTGCGCTGGCCGCCGCATGTGTGTCAGCCCGGGCCGTGGGCAGTGAAGGCCACAGGCCCACTGGAGACACCCCAGAGGCAGTGGGGAGCGGGGCTCTCCCCTCTGACGGGGCCCGGGAGGTTGGGGTCAGCCCTGCCTTGCCGACCGAGGGCCCCCCTCCCCCACTGAGCTTGCATCCCTGCCCGGCGACCCGGTGACAGCACACTCCAGCTCTGACCCCTCCTTGCTCCCCAAGCACCTGGCATCAAAAGCCCAACTCGTCCTGAGGGGGGCCACGCCCTGGCAGTTTGGTGGGTCCGGGGCAGGGGGGGGGTCTCTGTGTCGTTCCTGCTGTGATTTCTACAGGGAACTCGGGCACAGCAAGGCCTGCCCCAGGCAAGTTATTTTGGTTTAGAATGTACATTTTGGGGCCAGAGGATTCAGGACTTTCTGTGGGTGTTTAAGCTACGGCATTTCCGACTTCTGTCCCTGCAGACAGCATGGGAGGCCTGGGCCTGGAGCCCCTCCTCGCTGGGAAGCCAGGCCACTGCGTGAAGGGTCCCCAGGGACAGTGCTCTGAGAGGCAGACCTTCCCCGGCAGACCAGGGTGGGTCCTGGGAGCACACCCTCCAGGTCTCGTTGGGGGACCACGGCCCTGGGGTCCCAGGCAGCTGGGGGCACATGGGGGCAGAGAGACGGGGTCGGTAAACAGCATCACCTCATGGGCTCAGACCCCAAAGAGCCGAGGGCAGGGACTCTGCAGACGTCTGCACAGCACGTTCGTGGCGGCCTGCTCGCAACGCCAGAGGGCAACCAGCGTCCACCGACGGCGCACCGACGAACGGTGTGGCCCACGCCACAGCGCAACACCAGGACACCCTGACACCCACTGCAACGTGGACCAACCTGGGGACGTTCAGCTGAGCGAAATCTGCCGGTCTCAATGGACAGAACTGCAGGATCTCACTGTGTGAAGCGTGTGGAGCCGTCAGCGTCACAGAGACACGAGGCAGACGGTGGATGCCCAGGGCTGGGAGAGGGACACCCAGGCGTCCTTGTCTAATGGGGACAGAGTTCCAGTTTACAAGATGAAACAGCTATGCAGGTGGAGGGTGGTGACGGCTGCAGGACACTGAACGCACATACCGCTGAACAGCATGCTTAAAAATGGATAAGATGGTAAATTTTATGTATATTTACTACAAACACACACATGTTGATGGAACATAAAGCTTCTTCCTTCCTGCGGCGGTGACAACACCTGCTTCCTCCTCAGCACCTGCACGTGGAGTGGACCAGGTGTTTCTCCCACAAGGTAGTGACAGCGCGTGGCCGTGCTCTGCCGCGCGCTCGTCCACGTGCGCTGCTGCTTTTCATCCGGCAGCCGACATGGTGAGTCGGCACCCCGCAGGTGAAGCAACGCTCAGGGAAACGCGGAAGGGGTTGGGGATGGACGTGGGCGGCGGCGACGTGGGCCCACGCGGATGCCCCAGAGGAGGCCGGGTGGGCCAGCTGGGGCTCTGCAGTGCTGTCGCGGCTGAGGCAGCCCTGGCACCTCCCGCCGCCCGGTCCTCATCTAGGCGATTCTCCTCCCACACGCACAGGGTTATTGCTGCTTAGAAACCTGGATGCACCAAGTGTCTTCAGAAGCAGAGTCTGAGACTTGGGCCTGGTTAAGACCAGAGACGCCTCAGGAACCAGACGCCCACCAAGGAGGGTGCCAAAGCCACATCTAACCTGCAGTCAGGGTTGGTCACACCAGCGAACGGTGACTGTCCCAGGAACATGGGACAGTCCCTTCTACTCCTGTCTGAGTAACGAGCTGACGGCCCCGCCCAGCAGGAGGCCCCGAGGCTGAGCTGCTTGGCCTGAGGGAGGCTCACCGCGGGGCCTGTGCCCAGCCCCTGGCAGGTGGGAACAGGGCACCAGCCAGGGGAAGGCCAGCCGGACGGTCCTTCCATCAGGAAATGCAGGGTGACCCTCAGCTGCGTCCTTCAGAAACCGCCCGACTCCCTGACCAGTCCCTGACTGTCCTATGACACGCTCTGTGTACAGACACTTCCCCGGGAATGACATTTCTGCCCACACTGCCCGTGCCCACATTCTCACAGGACAGAGGGGGCGGGAAGTCCACCGTTTGCTCCGAAAGGAGCCCCAGCTCCTGGAAAAAGCCAGCACTGGGTACCGGAGCCACGCGGCTGGCCTGGCTCTCGTCTTTGGAAGAATGTGGAGGTCACATCCCTCTGTCAAGGGTGATGAGACTTGAGCACACAACTCTGTAGACTTTTGTGACAATGAATGTGTCAGCCTCCTGTTGACCAAGCTTGGAGGGCCTGACTGGCAGAGATCCAGGGGACAAGGCCTGCTGGCCAGACAGTCCCGTGAGCTCTTGACCTTGGCTATAACTTGGAGCCTCTGCCTGTGCATGGCCGGCGCCCCAACGTCAGCCTCGGGGGCTGGCCCAGGGTGTGTGACCCGGAGCAGGCAAGGAGGGCCCAGCGCCCGTGGTTTCACCGCCAGCGACACGGTGTCCAGACCACCGCTGGGCAGGCGCTCCCTCCCGGACCCAGGCCTCGCCGCCCACTGCCCCAACCTCTGTCCAGGCCGCCCCCAGCCCCAGCTCACAGCCCGGCGCGCGCTCACCCGCTCCTCCTCGGCGCGGATGTCGGGCATGGTGCTCAGGCAGAGGCCGACCGC